GATGGATGTCGTTTATTTATTTGTTGTGCTATATTATACACATAAAGCACCAGAGCACACACCGAGGCTGTTGGCAGTATATCGGCAGCTGGTTGTGAGCTGAGTGAAACCAGAGACAGCGTGTCCACTGAACAAAGTCGTAACAGCAGCAGAGAGGAGAGGGAGGCCGATGGGAGACAGTTGGGAACGCAAAAAAAGTGAGAAACAACCAAAGGGGTCCAGACAGACGTAGAGAGAGGCTCACCAGGTTAATCTCAGGATGAATGGCCTGTAATAAATCAAGTCACGCTTCAGCAGCAGGAGGAAACCAGGGAAACCTCCTTCTGTTTGCATTTTTACATTCCAGCACACACTGTTCGTTCTCATCTATTTATCTCTCTTATCTTGTATTTGGTAATAATCAGCACTGCGGGAAACAAAACTGTCTGAACCTCAGCCTGTTAAAAGGAAGTCCTGTAAGAAGTTGCGTTGGGTTTCTGATGACATTAAGTGGGACATACTTGTGCATGCAGCATCAGTGTGTGTTCTGCATTGTAATTGCTTAACTCGACCTGGTGAATAATTGAGGATACTCACAGACTCACAGCAACTGTGCAAATGCCTTTTTTCTTCTTCTTTTTTTTTAGAATGATTTGATGACTAAAGCTCAGGACGAGAGATTCTCATTTTCAGCAAATCTACTTTCAGGACAGAGGAGCTTACTTCAATACAGTGCTCCTCAACCCTTTTTCTCCCTTAGGAATAGTTTCTGTCACATCGAATTATCTAAATGTCCTCATTTCCTGTTCGTGCATGTCACAGGCTTTGGCCAAATCTGCTGCAGCTTGCTCACTCCACCTTCCACAAAGATAACAGATTGAACTTCTCAAGAATAAATCACCATGATTTCCTCCTTTTCAGCGTCTTATTTTCTACCAGGTCACAACTCCCCCATGGTCCATATCAAATCCAACCCAGTCCAGACAGTTCAGTTCAGCTTTTATGTTGACTTCACTGTTGAAATGCTGTCCATTGGGTCTCCTCCTTACGCATGGATATCCTTACCAGGGATGCAGCAGCCAGATACGAGTTTAACCACAACCCAGCATCATTTTAACTCGCTCTGATGGACACTTCCTTTGTCTGTCTGTTTAGAGGACAGAACTGATGTGTATCATTTCCAAAGAGAGACATTTGCTCCCATCAAAGAGACAAGCAGATGATATAAGACTATTAATGATATAATTACACTAATGAACACACAGATAAGGCGACTGAACAGTCATGGTTAGAAAAAATTATGTTGACTCATGGTTTAAAACAGCAAAACAATACTTTGTTTGCCCGCCCTGACCTCTCTGTAACAGATTTGTGGCTCAGGAACAACGACTTCCTTCTTCCCTCCTATAATCACTGCAGCACCGTCCCTC